TTTATATTAAAATACCGTGAAAAGTGAAGAATTATTTGAGTAACCCGGATATAATACACGATCATCCGCCAGGACCTAGGCCACCCGCACCCCCCTACCAAATATCAGTTCTTTCTCTTCAAAACTGTGAAAATACAGGAACAAACACACACACACACACACACACACACACACACACACACACACACACACTATATTTTCAATATATCGATATCCTATCATTCCGTCGAATACATGCGACAGTAATAGTAATAATATCAATATTAGTAATAATAATAGAACGGTAAGAACATCAATGATAAAAATAATAGTCATAACACAAGCGAAAATAAACAAAAAAAAAAGTAATAACTAATAACAAGGTAACTGGCAACTGTCCCAACATCGACGTCTTTGCTTAACAAACAAGTCTTTCATGTTTTAATAGATTAACAGATTTCTCGCGTGAAAAGCCTTTTAAGACGGGTTTATATACACTTTTCTTTACCGCAACGTACTTAAGGCTACCCGTGACTTAACACTCTCTTTTCCAAGATCAGGAGCAGTCAAGGGAGTCTCGGTGTATTGTTTACGATGCTCGACTTTCTGTTTACGTCACTGCGCAGAATAATGTGCAGTGGTCGCAACTTGCGCAATGGTCAGTGAAACACCGCCACACTGAGCACATATACTGTAAACACGAAAAGCCATACAGGAAAGGAGAAGGATATACGGGCGAGGAAAGGGACCAGAATGTAATAAGGGAGAATGAGTCTGGTCGCCCACCAAGCTTAGGTTGTAGTCTGAGGGAGGACGAGCTTATTTCTCTTAATAATATCGACAAATTTTGCCATCCTAACACCTAAATCACTCACAGGATGTTTCTACGCCCATAAGACAGCCTAAATGGTGTCTAAATTGCTCTGGGACTCTGCAGTAATTACAAACATCCTCTCGGTCTTAGTTACCGAAGGGGGTGAATTGAGAGACCGAAGCAATTTCAGATTTCGATTTTTTTTCTTCAGATTTTGCCCCCACGCAGCTCGAGGGCTAGTTAACTGGGTAAATCTTTATATCCTGTGTAAAGTCAAGTGCACAAGCATTACAGCGTCCAGAAGGGAAGCACGTGGAGTTTATACTTTTATATTTTGACTTAGGCAATTTACGAGCTTGAGTGCATTGGTTGTGTTAGTGAGGCGAGGTTCAGGGAGTCACGCAGGAACTGGTTAATAAACTCAAGAATAAGTGTTGGGTGTGTAAGGCCCTGTCAAGTGTCATTATTTTCACACACACACACACACACACACACCAAAAACAGCATTTTGCCTATTTAGGATATCTGAGAGAGCCCTTCAAGGCACGTACATTTAAGTAACTCTCTCTCTCTCTCTCTCTCTCTCTCTCTCTCTCTCCACACCCTAACATCTTTCACCATTACTCTTTTCCTCTTCCCCTCCTCCCCTCACATTTCTTTCGCGCTTGTCTCATTTTCGTGCACTTATTTTTCCTCCTTTCCGCTTTGTTTATTTTCCACCCTCATTACTCTCTCTCTCTCTCTCTCTCTCTCTCTCTCTCTCTTCTTCCCTTTAATTCCATCGTATATTTCTTACATTATGTTCTCCTTTCTTAGTTTGCCATATTTTCATTCGTTCTTTATTTCTTATTCTCTTTCCTTCCTTATTCTTCTTCTTCCTTATTTATTATTTTCATCCCCTTCAAAATTTATTTTATTTTTCTTGTGTCAATCATTTATCCTCTTAATTGTATTATCATATCACTGTTACCAAGTTAATGTAACGTCCCCTATCATTCCACTGTTACCAAGTTAGTGGAGGGTGGCGTGGGAGGGAGGGAAGAGTGGAGGGTGGCGTGGGAGGGAGGGAAGAGTGGAGGGTGACGTGGAGGGAGGGAAGACTTACAGCTCTGGTACATCATCCATCACTGAGATAATATGAAAACCCTCCTCAACCCTCCCTCCCTCCCTCCCTCCTCCTCCACTCCCTCCCTCCACTCCACTCCCTACCCCCCTTTAATGTTTCCCCCGGGCGCCAGATGATACATTAATCACTCCCAGCTGTATTAACTTATCGTCATCATCATCATCATCATCATCATCATCATCATCATCATCATCATCATCATTCTTTATTATCACCACCATTATCGCTAACAGGTCACCATCATCACAATCATCATCATCATCATCAACCATTATTACCATTATTATTATCATTGCCATCATTATCATCACTGTCTCTGTCTCTAAATTCAGAAGAGGAAAGAGAGTAAAAGGAAGAGGAGGAAGACGAGGTGGGGTCGAAAAGGTGGAGAAGGAGAAGGAGGAAGAGAGGATGGAAAAGGAAGAGGAGTTGGAGGAGGTGGAAAATAAGGAGGAGAAGGGGAAGGAGAGAAGAGACACGTAGACTGAAAGAGAACACGAGAGAAAAAGAATGAGAAAGAGAATAAAGCAAAATGAGAAGAAGAAAAAAGAGGGACAGATAAAAAAATAAACAGAAAAAGATGAAGAAGGAGGAGGAGAAATAAAATAAGGAAGAGAAACGAAAATATATTCTTCCCTCCCGTTTATTCAATGTTCCTAAGATTTATTTATTACCTGGTTTACGAAATTACCCTCTTCACCTGGAATTATACTAGATCTTTTTTATGACGTCTTAAATTTTATACTATGCTGTTCAAAGGGTCTCTCTCTCTTTCTCTCTCTCTCTCTCTCTCTCTCTCTCTCTCTCTCTCAGCCCGTATTCCTAACTATGCCTCACTTCCTCCCTCCCTCCCTCCTCCCTCCCTTTTACCTGCCTTCCTACACTGAATATACAACTAACGAACTAACTAACCAACCAACTAAGTAACTAACTAACCAACCAACTAACCAACTAACTAACTAACTAACTAACTATATACCTATCTAACTAGCTAACCAACTAACTAACTAACTAACCAACCAACTAACTAACTAACCAACCATTTAACTAACTAACCAACCAACTAACTAACTATATACCTAACTAACTAACTAACCAACTAACCAGCTAACTAACCAACCAACTAACTAACTATATACCTAACTAACTAACTAACCAACCAACTAACCAACTAACTAACTAACCAACTAACTAACTAGCTAACTAACCAACCAACTAACTAACCAACCAACCAACTAACTAACTATATACCTAACTAACTAGCTAACCAACTAACCAACCAACTAACTAACTATATACCTAACTAACTAACCTAAACGAATTCCAACATTTTAATTGCTTTTGCAGACAACAGCCGTCCACCAACACAGTTATCCCAACCACTTAACACTAATGAGGACAAGTTAGTGGACTCAAGCACTCCATAATCAGGTTAGGACCAGCTGATGTGTCACCTGGGGAAGGAAGACAAGCTTGTGTCACCTGAGAGGAGAATCTGTGCCATCTGTGTCACCTAGAAAGACTATCTGTGTATCAAATTCATATTCTCTCTCTCTCTCTCTCTCTCTCTCTCTCTCTAGTCACCAAAGCTTTTGTAGCAGAGTAACCAAGAGGTAAAACTCGCCCTGGGTGCCATAAAGGAGACACATAACGCCTTAATACACCTTTATGGCCTCAATAAAAAGAACCTTACTGCGTTACTGGTACTGTCTGGGTGTACGTAATAATCCCTTGACCTAACCTAATTTGACCTGACAACCTAACCTAACTTGAACTAACAACTTAACCTAACCAAATCAAACTTAAACTTATGTAAATTAACAATATTACAAATCTAACATCATCAGTTTAAGTTGGAGTCGATCTGTTTTTACCTACTGAAGAGACTATGATTTATCACCTGCCACCTCCTAGGATAAATGCAGGTTAATGAGGATAGGGAAGCTCACCTTGAAATCGATTCGGATAAATGAATACTTTAGTGACTATCATTATCATAAGTGAATTAACAAGCATTTCACGCTTAAACGTGTCATTAGATGGGTGTTTAACAAAATATTCATACATAGGACACAAGTAATGTTACATATACATATTTTACATAACATTATATAGGCTATATTCGAGTGTATACATAATGCATATACTGTAGTGTATACATATAATATTACCAAAAGAACACATATAACAAAATCCATATAATTAGTATGATTTTTGGATACATACACATATACACAAATACTGCAGTACTTATAAATAACATCTATCCCCCAAAAAAGTATATTAAAGTGTGTTAAGACAGAACATAAGTAATAAAAATTATCTCTTATAAACACTTTATATTTTTAAGTATACTTTATACTTTAAACTCCTTTATTTAGGGGAAAAGTAGATATTGGGGATATTTTAGGGAACGATTTAAAGTATCTATTTCATTTTTTTAAAATTTATGAAGAAAATAAAAAAACCTTTTTTTTAACGTCCAATAGTTTCCTTGTTGTGTGTTTGTTCCAGTTGGTTGTTGTTGTTGTTGTTGTTGTTGTTGTTATTGTGGCCTATACGTGAGCACCGGTTTACGTTTCCTTAAGCACCATAACACTGAACACTATGTAATTTTAAACACTGTATTTCACTGTATCACTGAACACTATGTATCGTTAAGCACTGTATTTCACTGTATCACTGAACATTATGTAACTTTAAGCACTGTCCAATCACTCCCAGGTACTCTCAGGTACTGACCGATCACACCCAGGTACTCCCAAGTACCGACCGATCACTCCCAGGTTCTCTCAGGTACTGACCGATCACTCACACCACTGCCAGCTTAAACTACCGAACGACCAAAACTACTTAGTGTAACTACCGCACGGTCGTTCTTCACTCGTTCGTTCGTTATCTTAAACCGGTATATTAGGTATTTGTGAATGTCGTTGTATACATTTACGTGTTTTAATGGCTTGGGTTTTTACACATTATTGAATAACATTTGAAATTTGAAGATTAGATGACAATGTATGATGATTCCCCCTAATGAGAGTAGTCCACCAGGTGTTATCAATTATCTCTCTTTCATTACAGGTGGATGATCAGCAGCTGAGAATCTAAAGAGTCTTCTACCTTCAGCAGGGTTCAGTTCCATCATTCAATCTTGTTCCCCTGAGTCTTAAGTTAAGCTCAGGGTCGTTCATCACCATCCAGGAGTCTTAAATTAGGCTCAGGGTTGTGCATTACCACCTGAGAGTCTTAAGTTAGGCTCAAAGGCGTTCATTATCCTCTGGGAGTTTGAGGCTAGCCAGAGTCTTTCATGAACATATGCACATTCTTCAGGAGTCTTAATTTAGGACAATTATCACCTGTGGGTCTTAATTTAGGACATTTACCACCTGTGAGACTTATATTAGGACATTTATCACCTGTGAGTCTTATATTAGGACATTTATCACCTGTGAGTCTTATACAAGGACATTTATCACCTGTGAGTCTTAATTTAGGACATCCATCACCTCCAATTAAGACTCAACCTAAATTTAAACCACCAATTACACTTTAAATCACCTGTTGACATAGTTATCATAAGTCTAAATCAACTGGTTATTTTTCCAGATGAATTACTCAATGATCAGTAGTTGGTGACATTGTGAAGGAATAATGGTATAAACTGTATTGAAAATAAACGATAATAAACAAATAATAAAAATAAATAAATAATGAACTGTTTAAAGGACATTAAATAATAAACAATAAATGCTGAAACTGATAAACGACAGGAAGAAAAAGAACAGTTAATGAAGAGTAGATAATGTAAGTGAAAACAGAGATGATACAGTGAAAAACAATAATAAAGAATAATAAAGATAAGAGAAAGATATTAAAAGACTTACGGTAAATATCTTGGGAGGAAAATTGTCCTTCGTCTGTAGAGAGAGTATCCGCAGCACCAGTAGGATATCCAAAGGCGATTTATTCCAGGCGCCAGCAGGAAGTCCAACGAGGCAAAATATGACAGACGGAAGTTCAGGCAAGTGTAGGAGGCCGATGAGGGCGTGGGTGTACTTCCTCCTATTTACCGTGGGCGTGTGGGCGGTGGTCTCAGCGGAGGTGGCCCCAGAGGACTCGTTCAAACCTAAATTGGTGAGTAATATTGTATCGTTTGTGATTTTTAATTCAATAGGAAACCTGACACAAAAAAATCCGCTATGTTTGATAATGTCAGTACTGGATACTCTTAATTATATGTTTATTTACCTGTTGATTAAGGTATGGGTTAGGATAGAGAGAATAATCAGAAAATATCTTAATTATTTATAGGTATTAATTAACCCATATAACCCCCCCCCCCTAAAAAAATTGAATATATATTACTCAAAAATATTCATACTTACATTGTTGACATCACGGTAACACTAGAGTAACACCCTCAGTAACACCCACAGTAACACCCCAGTCCCTCAGTAACACCCACAGTAACACCCTCAGTAACACCCCATTAACACACCCATTAACACACCCAGTAACACCCCAGTAACACCCATTAACACACCCAGTAACACTAACACCCATTAACACACCCAGTAATACCCCAATAACACTTATTAACACCCCACAACACCCAGTAACACCCCAGTCCCTCAGTAACACCCACAGTAACACCCTCAGTAACACCCCATTAACACACCCATTAACACACCCAGTAACACCCCAGTAACACCCATTAACACACCCAGTAACACCCCAGTAACGCCCTAGGTAACGTTGTCACTCCTTTACACAGCCCAAGAAACGCCAGATCTACCGTGAAGCAGTGCTACCAGCTCGAGGTGGCATCATACCTCAAGGGGCCTTTACCAAGCAGCGCCTCCAGCACAATATCCATGACCAACTCGGAATAGAAGCTCCTGACGGCACTATCTTTATCTCCAGGTGCGTGTCTAGGTGAGGGGTGGAAGGGGGAAGGGGTGAGGAAAGAGATTAGTGGGAGTAGGGATAAAAGAGGAAGGCAAGGAAGGGAGGGTAGAATGATGGTGGAATGAGGGATGGGGATTAAGGGCAGTGAGGGGGGTGGGAGATGATGGAAGGAAGTAAGGATTGTCAATAGGTGAAGGAAGAAAGGAGGGTAGGTGGCTGGGTGAGGGACTGAAGGAGAGAAGTGATGAGTGGGAATATGAGTGAAGGAAGGAATTATAGGAGAGGGAGGATAGTCGGGGTTAGGGAGGTGAAAGGGAGGAAAGATTAGAGTGAGGGAAGGAACTGAGAGGGTTGAGCACGAGGTAAGGGAGGGGAAAAAGACGAGTAAGGGAGAAGGGAAGGAGGGGGTGAGCGTGTGAAGGGAGGGAGGGAGGAAGGAAGCGATGAAGGAGTAAAGAGAGAGGAGTGAGGGGTTGATGGGTGAGGCTAAAAGATGAGAGGGGAAACGAGGGCTCCTGATGGTGTTGTATCCGTCATCAGTTGAGGGGAGTGAGGAATGAGGGCAGGGGGAGACGTGTGTGTGTGTGTGTGTGTGTGTTGAGTTCGGGGCGTGACAGGCAAGGGTGATGAAGAGAAGAAAAATAAACCCCATTTTCTTTAACTTAAAAAAATCTATTTATTTTAGGATATACTATTTCCTTCCTCTCAGACCCTACAGAGACGGGGTTAAACATATACTTAAACCAACTCGCGTGTCTCTTGAGGTTCGATTGTCTCTTCCACTGTATATTCTTCCCTTAAAACATCATATAACTTCTCTTGTGTTGTTGTGGTGATGTGATCGCTTGTTGTGTGTTGTCGTGAAGGAGTTGTATATGAGTTGTGGTTATTTCGCATCCTACAATTTGAGTCAAGTGTTTGGATGTGATTCATTTAAATAATTTGTGTACACACACACACACACACACACACACACACACACACACACACACACACAAGAAGTATTATACAAGACCTGTCCGTCCACACCAAATAGAGCTAAAATGAAACTTGTTAACAATGGATGATGATGATGATGATGATGATGATGATGATGATGATGATGATGATGAGGAGGAGGAGAAGGAGGAGGAGGAGGAGGAGGAGGAGGAAGGCCCACACATCAAAGTTGAGACAAGGAATATCTCCTCTGGTTGGGTCAAGAACTGGAGGTTGGTGTCGTTTTTATGGTACTTATGGTGTGATGTAGTGTTATCGTCTGTCTATATGTCTGTCTGGGTGTCTGTTTCTCTCTCTGGGTTGCTTAGGTGTCTATCTGTTTGGGTTCCTGGTTATTTGGGTGTCTTAAGTGTTTGTCTGTCTGGTATTTTATTTAAAAAATTTATTGACAAAGCTTGTAGTACAGTTTGCCTATTCTGAGTAATTCAGTCAGGTCTTGACACTGAGGGTGGTATCACTTCTCACTGCCACGCAGGACAGAGGTTCATACACAAAGGAATAGATCATATTCATTAGCAGTATATATAGGTCAGAGTCATGTGGGTGATGTCACTGTTCACTGCCATGCAAGACAGTGGTTCATATACATTGGACGTCATATTCTAATTGAAGACTAATCAGTGTGGGCTAGCAAATTTTGGATAAACAGCAAGAATGTCCTCAAGCACCCCCGACTCAATGTAGTAATTACAACGTTCATGATACAATAAGCCAGGTGGCCTGAAGTCTTTGATAGTGTCACATTCAATAATATAGTTTTCAAGTGCATGATTTAAAGGTTTATCACAAAGTTATGTCTGGATTTCTTTCTAACAGTGTATCTGTTTATTTGAGTGTGTGTGTGTGTGTGTGTGTGTGTGTGTGTGTGTGTGTGAACCCGAAATCCTGGACTAGTTTCAACAAGAGAACTGTGTGTGTGTGTGTGAGAGAGAGAGAGCGAGAGAGAGAGAGAGAGAGAGAGAGAGAGAGAGAGAGAGAGAGAGAGAGCCCCATGGTCTACTCTCTAAAATTGAAGAGCAACCTGATCATCCCAAGGAGGGCCAGTTGGTCACCCAAGCGCTAGTTTAAACATTATTGTGGCTAAGTTGGTCGTTCAAGATTAAACATCACGTATAATTATGTTGGCAGAGGTGAGACAAGTTTAATGGATTGTTAGAGTTTGAATTAGTTGTTGTCAGGCTAAGAGAAGTTACTTGTTGTTGTTGTTGTTGTTTTTATATCCACGAACAGATACATTAAGAGCTGAGAGCTGAGTTGTTGAGTTATCTGAGCTAGGTTGGGGAAGTTGCAGTTGGTGATGTTTTCATTTTTTTCGATAATTTTTGTGCCTAAATTTTCTATATATAGAATTCAATCCCATTTCATAAGTTAGTTTGGAGAGAGTTATTGTTCCACAGTATTGAATTACAGGATATAAAACGAATTTTCCCCAGACGGAGTTCCCACACAGGCTCGCACGATGGCTATTTTCGCCTGACTGAAAAAAATTAATAAAAAAAAAATGGATTCGAAATTGCACTGAGACTCTTTGCTGTTTTTTTTACTACTACTTAGGAAAATAAACAAAAGAATATAATTAGAATAGTATCCGGTGTCTTGCAATTAGAGTGACTAACTAACAAACAGTACAAGACCTGTCGACGCACCTCTCTACACTCTAAGGCATTACAAGATACAGTTTTATTTCAGGTTCTCTAGGCGTTCAGAACACCCTGGCATAATACTGGTTGGAATAAACGTTTATTTAACATCAATGGATAGCTTCAGAACGGGTTGACTGACCTCCTCGTTGCCACACACACACACACACACACACACACACACACACACACACACACACACACCCCACACACACACACACACACACTTTTCATATCTCCAACTGAAATATAGTAGAAGGACACAAAAATGGTGACAATCCTCAACTCTCACAGAGAAACTGGATGAAACCCCCAAATTCAATTCGTTTTTTTTTTACGACAAGAGACCAATTTTGCACCTGTTCTCCATCTGTCAGCGCGACTCCTATTGACAGAGACGGGCTGCTGCATTTAATTGTTACATGAAAAGTAATATAGTCAGATGTGACACAGAGATATATTACATCCCCAGATCACAATTTTATTTCGTTACGGAGATGAAGACTTTTTCATTACTTTGGTTTGGTTTACTCACTCGGCCGCTGACTGTGAATAACGATGTATGATATTGAAGGGAGTGAATGACAAGTCATCTTCGGTGTGAATAAGGATAATGTGATAGGTGAATATACAATGAGTGATTAGAAAGCTGTTTGTGGATTATTTAATAACGACCAAAATGAATGACGAGCGAGTGGTTTTTTTTTTGGGGGGGGGGGGGATTCATCTGCAGGACGATTTGTTGAAATGAGTAAATTTGTATTGATATTAATCACAAAATCACTCAGCCACAACCCTACATGAAACAGGATAAGATAAATATTGTGGATGTCTGCAGGAAATATAGAGCAAATTCTCCCTGTATGTGTGAGGGGGAGGGAGGGGGGGCTCGTGCCTGCTCCATCCTCTTACCTAAAAGGTTAGAGAGAAAATGGGCTAAGAAATTGCATGTAGGAAAATTCTTGTTCAAACACTAAGTCACATTTCCCTAAGGACGTCGCCCCCCCCTCCTGGTCTAGCTATCTTGTGAGGCAAACTATTTTCAAAATCCCTTTTAAGTGAATTTGCTAAGTTTGCTTAAATTTTGGTTTGCGTTTTTTGCTGCCGAGGTGTGTGTGTGTGTGTGTGTGTGTGTGTGTGTGTATACAGGATTACCATATCTTCTCTAAGTCAACACAGCCACCAACATAGGAGAAATAATAACAACTCTCCCAAACCAACTAAGCACACACACACACACACACACACACACATACACACACACACATATATATATATATATATATATATATATATATATATATATATATATATATATATATATATATATATATATATATATATATATATATATATATATTTCATTAGCCCAATAAAGCACGCGGACTTCTACATATAAGCAACACCTCACCCCGCCAGGATTCGAACCCACGGCCCACGACTGTGAGGTGGCGTTCCCCGGTCACAGTCGTGGGCCGTGGGCTCGAATCCTGGCAGGGTGAGGTGTTGATTTTATATATATATATATATATATATATATATATATATATATATATATATATATATATATATATATATATATATATATATATATATAACACCAAAAAATACTACTATTACCACTATTAACAACACTACCACCAACAACAGGCAGCGAAACACCACACAAAATCAAGGTGGCTTTACCTGCCAAGTTAGTGAGGACAGGTGACTCCTACTCTAAGCCCGCCGCTTCCTCGCCTTCTCCTCCCACTTCTCCCTGACTGGCAATGCTTTTCTCTGCTGTCAACGTTTGTCAAAGTTAAATATCTTATATTGTAAATATTAGCCAGGTATTCTTTTTATGTCAGTTTAGACATCACTAAATTTTTCCTTCAACATCAGTTCAAGTATAAACCAAATATTCCTTCAGTATTAATTCAAATATATATCAACATTTTCTCGGTATTATTTTATTGTAGGAGACTAGAAATGAACGCTAATTATAATTATAAACAAACAAAAAAGCAGTTATAGTATACAGAAACTTATGACGGGTGACCAATCACAACTCTGTTACCCTTTAGACACAGCTTATGTATGGTTCAACTCACTCGAATACTCGGTTCCATTTCTGTCACAGTGGAGTTGATTTACGGGGTAACTTCAACTTTCCTTATAAGCCATTCATTTTGTCGCAGGATTTAAACATTTACGTCCGTTAATGTCAATAATTCCCCATCTAATTCTGATCTCTAATATATATCGATATAATAGTTACATGGAGAAAATGAGAGACATATTGATAAATTAAAGAATATAGATAATTTAGATAAATGATGAAAGATAGAGAAAAAAATATCCTTGTCACGTCCATATAGCCATCACTTCTGCACCACTCCCGACCCAAACAGCGTGACATCTCACGCCTCACTGTGGGTATCGACTCCCCATCACTCACACTTCTTTCACCGTTCAACACATTAGTCTAGTTCACACTCCTTCCTCCTTTTCCCTCTCCCTCGTTTTACACTCTCTTCTTCTCATTCTATTTCCTCCCCAACACTTCCCTTCTTGCTCTCCCTTTATTCAATTTCTCCCTTCTTCCACTGTATTTATATTTCTATTTATTTCTTCTTCCTTTGTTTCATTCATCTCAGCACATACAATTCTTCCCTCCTTCTCTCCTGTACGCCCCCCCTCCCAACATCGACTCCTCTCCCTGGGGCTGAATCAGAACGTTCTGACATAAGGATTTTGATTCATTACCGCTACCGCTCAGGTCTAATCTCTGGGGAGGGGGTATATCTGGGGAGGGTATCTCTGGGGAAGGGAATCTCTGAGGGGTATATCTGGGGAGGGGGTATTTCTAGGGGAGGGGGTATCTCGAAGGGTGGGGTATCTCTAAGGAGGGGGTATCTTTGGCTGACGGGGTATCTATTGTGATCTTTGTTTGGTATTTGTCTGTGAATAATAATAATAACGACATTGATTTTTTCTTTATGAATATTATTTTGGTCACTTAGATTATTATTATTATTATTAATATTATTATCATCTTCCCTGGTATAATTTTCATAATTACAATTCATTATCCTGTAATTTTCCCCCTGTATTAAGTTCTCCCTCATTTAATAACGTTACTACTGGTTCAGATTTCATTTCTAAATTTAATGAGATTTGAGAGTTGCAAGGATTCAGTCCATTTAATTCCTTCTTAATATCTTATAGAGAGTTTTTCTCCTCAATCTTCAGGACTTGTGGGATTAACTCTACCGAGGCTTCTACTTTTATTATTATTATTATTATTATTATTATTATTATTATTATTATTATTATTAAACTTCAGTACATCACTCCATCATCATATCACCATTCTTCACCACATCACCACGCCCCACTCAAAATAAACATCAAAGAAACTAACTAACCTCTCATATTCTTTTTCCTTGGCGTTGGCAGGACTCCACAACACACCCACGAAGAAGTAGATCCTGAGGACGAGCGGGAGATTTTACGCTTGTTTCCCTCAGAACAAAACGCTGGCTCTCTGGATCTTCATGGTCACATCCACCTACGTCCACTAGTAAGTTGTACCTCGAAAATAAGATATAAGTTGGTTTTGAGATTGAGCTCCTAAAACACAACATAACTCTATTGCATCACTATAAACACAGCCTATTAGACTTGATACCCCCTTAAAGGTACCGTCCGCCATTATAGTGAACTCTGCTGTAAACGACATAATGGCTGGAAAGTGCCCGTCATTTTACGAACTTATGAAAGCGAGGAACAGAGCTTCGGCTGGACTGACGAAGACTAACGTAAGACGACACTAGACTATGGAATGATCGTATAACTATGGGAAGAGCCTTTATAAAACGGTGTAGAATATATAATTTTTATGGCTGGGTTTTGTTAACAGTTTGTTACTAGGAATGGAGACACACCTGCACCCTCAGCATCCCTTTACACAGGTCACCGGCCAGATGCAGGAGCTACTTAAGGTCTTCTTCTCCCGCCCTCAGACGTTATTGGGTGTCAGGAGGAGTTTGTTTACTTTATATTTCTCGAGTTAGATGCCTCCCCACGCGCTACCACGACTGTTCATGCTCTTGTACGCCCTCCCATGCCTTTTCCACGTATTGCCTTGCCTTTCCATGCCTTCCTACACCTCGTCTAGACCATCTATGCCTTCCCACGCCTCCACACACTCATTCAAGCTTTGTCCAGTCCTTCCACACCTTCCAACTCTTTCCCATGCCTTTCTAAGCTTCCCCACGCCTCCTCATACCTTTCCACATGTTTTCAAGCTTCCCCCCCCCTTATAACTACTTTCTACGCCTTGCCACGCGCCTCCTACTGTATACCTCCCACGCCATCCTACTGTATCCTCCCACGCCCTCCCTACTGTATATACCTCCCACGCGCCTCCCCTATGTATACCTCCCACGCGCCTCCTGCTGTATACCTCCCACGCCCTCCTACTGTATACCTCCCACGCCATCCTACTGTATACCTCCCACGCCCTCCTACTGTATACCTCCCACGCCCTCCTACTGTATACCTCCCACGCCCTCCCATACTTTATTAGCTTTCCCGTGCTTTCTCGCATCGCCCCAGATATAGCTACGTTTATTTACTGGCCACACTCAGAGAGCTTAACTTAATGATCCACATCTGAGGTAATTTAAAAGTCAAGAACGAGCAAAGTGAATCAGTGTGTATGTACAGTAGTCCCCCCTCTCTCTCTCTCTCTCTCTCTCTCTCTCTCTCTCTCTCTAAGACTTAATATGATAACACTTGACCTTCATTGACCTAGAATTTTCATTAATTTATCTGACCTCTCTGTCTCTCCTCTCCCTCACAGCCCACGACCTACCTTATACGCAGGCCAGCTCTAGGTCGTATCTTCGTGCCAGGTCAACCACGTTTCAGGTCACACGCATCCAGCCTCTACCATAGTGCGTACCCCTGGCCTATTTACGCCCCTCCACAGGCAATGATCTACCAACATCTTTACGCCTCATACAAGTAGCTCCTGAGTGAGGCGGGAGGAGGAAGTGCAGGAAGAAGATGTGACGTGCGAGGGGGAGGTACTAGAAGAACTCTTCACTAGGAGATATCGCTTGGTGGTGTTACTAGAAGACATCTGGAGACATGCCAAAACCACGAATTATTGTACCTCTTGCAGATATATGAACAAAGATTATAAAATGCAAGGAAATATGTGAATATTTTTTTCGAAATTAAATTATATGTATATATATATATATATATATATATATATATATTATTTATTTTCATGATATTTGAAGAAAAAAAGAAGAATATGGTAAATAAAAAATTATATCAAGGTTATTGCAATACAGTTGATACTTTTCATTGATTTATAAGAAATTTTTAAGAATCTATGTTTCTTAAGATATTTAATTTTTTCAAGAATTTTATTTTTATATTTAATTTCATTTTTCACATTTCGATAATATTCTCCAGCGGTAAATCATATACTAATACCTTAAGGATTATTTGTATTACTTTAAACGTTTACCATACACACAAACTACTATGTCCAACACATATTAATACACCTTTCAAAAAATATATACTCCAAAAATTAAGTTTATATTCTAAATTTATCTTTCTTAAATCTTCTTCATACAAGAGGTCAAATTTGTATCTTATTATTAACACACATTAGATATGAGTCTTCAATAACTCACTAAAACAAAATCGAACTTAATAAGATAAAAAATACTCCTCTTGGTTAGGTTAGGATATTACTATTACAATATCCATTATTTTTCTAAGTCTTCATAATGTATAAGAAACTGTAGTGATTTATTTACTTGGATTTGAAAATTAGTGAATAAAAGGGGATCATGAATAACAGTAAAGTTTGTTTCCTGAGTTTAATAATTTGGATTACCTGAAGATTACATATCCCAGCTTATTTCACCTGATGCTTAGACACCCTAGATTATTTCAGGTGATAATCAAACACCAAGCCTAACCTAATCCCCAGGTAGCGTTAGTGTGTTCAATCCTCAAGTTATTTTTTTACGGGATTAGCCCACCAGGGCACAGGTCAGTGACCTTATCATCAGGTGAAATAAGCTGGGGCGTCTAATCTTCAGGTGAAATAAGCTGGGGTTTCTATTTATTTGTATTCTGTGGGTTGCTGTTGCTATAAAGGTTATGATAGTCTTAATAATTACTTAGGACTTACAGGTACATGTATATGTCATGTAGTGTGAGGTGTTATGAGTTTTTCAGGGGAATTACTACACCTTTAACCTATTGTAACACACACACACACACACACACACACACACACATACACACACACATATGAAGTGAAGTTCCTTTGTACCAATTATCTCAACACAGAACAGTTGGGGCGTGTCGACACAGGACTCCCGAGGTAAAGAAGAATATTGCCATTGTCCCTCCCACCCCTAGCACCTACACCAACGCCTACCACCATCACCACGCCTACCACTACCACTACTACTACTACTACCAGCCCTACACCAACGCCTACCACCACCACCACCACTGGGAAACACTTATCCATAAACTGGGTTGTCAGGCTAACCAAAGAGACCACTTACAAAGATCATAGTTCCTCTGGGGTGAAGAAGAATATTGATACTCCCACCACCACCACCACCACCACATCTACACCCACCCACCCCCCACCACCCACCACAGGGAAAGGCTGCTCGGTAACTGGGTTGTTATCAGGCTAATCAAGGAGACCGTGTATAAAGGTCACGGTGACGTAAGTGTGAAAGGCCCAACATCCTGGATTGAGACAGAGGTTGAGGGGGATAAAGGTCCCTCTGATGGCGATTATCTGAGGCTGCTTGAGGATGTAGGTGATATTTAGTGCGTTCTTGGGTGCGGATTCTGGATCAACACTACTACTACTATTACTACTAACTGCTACTACGACTACTGCTGCTGCTGGTACTACTTCTATTACTACTATTACTGCTGCTGCTGGCTTTACTATGATTACGGCTGCTACTACGACAATACTCCTATTACTAATAATAATATCTTTAGCTGTTACAAACATGCATTAACATAGTACAAACACATACAAAAGATAACAACAGCTGCACCAATAACAACACCCATAAACCTCTATCAACACAATGCCTGTAACCTCCTCCTCCTCCTCCTCCTCCAAAACTTTAAATACCCAGAACATTTACACATTTCTAAACACTAAGTTATCGCATCTGGATAAGAATAATCCGGTTTGTCAGCTGGGTGATGTCACGGTAGACTGAGGGTGAACACAGCTCTCTAGGGTAGTGATAACATTAAGTAGTTCTTTTTATATATTTTTTTATTTAATCACTGTCTTTCCTCGTTCTATTTTGCTACAATGGATAACTTTGTAAGGTATTTAATATTTTCAATTTATGTAGCAAGATTTAAGGTGTATGTAAAACAGGTGTAACATACAATTAGCACAGTTACAGGTAATTAGTCTAGTACAGGGACTGAAACAACAGTACAGGTAGATAAACAAGTACAGGAACAAAAATTAGACAGGTAAATTACAGGACAGTAACCGATACAGATACAGAAAAATTAAAAAACAAATAAAAACATCAATAAAACCCTGTTGGACTCATAAGCTAAAACAATAAAACCAATAAACTTGTAAAAACTCATCTAAAAATTACAATTAAAAATGACTGACAATCTTATGTTCTCTGATGTGGTGAAAATCGAACCAGTAAGAAGAATGACTATTGAAGAACAAGTAACAGAATATATAGTGTGGTACGCTAGGACAGTGTCAAAGGCTACTCTCTATAGCGTCTCTTGTATCTTAAACGCACAGAGATGTTGTTAGTCTCCTCCTTTTAACCACCATGTAGATGTTATTTGTAAACTCAACAAGAACAGAGGAGAGTGCTGTTTATATAACCTGATGATGGGGTGGTACTGTGTATTGCTAGTTAACCTGGCAACGTGTGTGTGTGTGTGTTGATACAGAAAATAGTGCGTGGTTACAACTTGTACAGCTGTTTTTTTTTTCTTTCAGTTAAATCTAGTCATATAACACTGTATACAATATGAACATAGAGAATACAGTACGTCACCACACACACGGACCTGATCAGCCGCAGTGTAAAGCAAAAATTGTCATAATTCTGGGTAAGCCGACTGGAATTATCCTTAATCTCTCACTGGCCCAGTTTTATTACGAGAGAGAGAGAGAGAGAGAGAGAGAGAGAGAGAGAGAGAGAGAGAGAGAGAGAGAGAGACTACCACTATAACATCTCACCCTTAATAATTTTATCAACACACTCAAGCGGCTGAGCGAGAGGTTATGATAATTCTCAGACGAGGACCACTTAAGATATTCCGAGAATCTACACTCAAGTGGCGAAGATCCGACACACACACACACACACACTGTTCTCCTCTTTCCCCCATGCCAACTCTCTCGCTCTCTCACTACCACCACCAACCCTCACAAACGCATCACTGATCCACGAAATTAGTTTTAAGTGTCCCATTGACCCTCGACTGACATTTGACCTGACTGGGGCTACATGTGACCTTGGATGTCTATATGTATATATTTTCATTATGTGTGTGTGTGTGTGTGTGTGTGTGTGTGTGTGTGTGTGTGTGTGTCACTCTCTCTGCCAAAATCACACATTTAACGAAATACTTAACACGAAAAAAAATAAAAATAAAATAAAATAAAATAATCCTCTCTCTTAGTTACCAGTCATACTTAGTTCTTGGTGTCTGAGTCTACCAAGTGTTTGTCCAGTCGTGTCATCAAGTACTTGCCTCACCACCCTCCCTGTCCCCCGCCCGCCCCCAGAGTAAGATAATGGTGTAGTTCATTAGTTTTATATGGATACGTTAATGGGAAGGGAGGTGAAGGGGGGAAAGGGACAGTTATCGCCCATTTTCTCTTTATGGTATGGATACAAACTCCCGTTCATTAGTATATTTGTAGTGTCCATTATTTTCTATTATGTGCACTAATAGACGTTAATTTATCACCTATTTCCCCATTAATATCGCCTATTTTTTCTTAATAGGTACACCCACTAAAACAATTATTCGGCACCCGTGTCATATTGTAAGGGTGCCGAATAATTTTTTAGTGGGTGTACATCAACACTTCCCTATTATCTCGCACTATTAGCTAACATTACCAATCAATTAATATATGCAAATAATACACAACATCTACCATACTACTAACTATAATGACTCCCTATTTGTACAATGATTATCTATTATTTTTTAATTACAGGATGGACAAGGATATGTTTTTATTTTAAGTAAGTAACTAAGTATTAGAGGAGTTAACCCAACCTTGAAAAAATATAAGTATCTGCTACTTTTTAATTACAGGATAGATAAAGACTATTGACTAAGTGAAACTATTCTATAAAAAAATCCATCAGTCAGGTCAGTAGAGAAATAAACAGCTGAATTGTGATGAAAAACATAAAACGACTTTATTTTAGTTTTTTATTATAATTTGAATAATAATGAAGATTTTATTCCTAATGTCAGTTCAGTTTATTGTGTTGTTCTTAACTTATAATTGGAACAGTTAATACTGATAGAAATATTATGTTTTCACATAAAGGTAATTTCTAGTGTTTACATATAACTCTACATCTAAGAACCTTAAGCATAACCTCAGTCTTGAGCGTTGAATCTCTGAGCGTAGTTGGTAGGGCGGATCTGTACAGTAACGTCATTGAAAACGAGCCAGGCGTCATCAGTCCTCCATCGGATTGTCTTAGCCGTACGATTGTTAGAGGTGGGGAGGGGCGCTGTGAGGGTGGTATAGTGACAGGCGTTGAACCACCATCCACCACTGTTACTCACGGCGCAGCTGCCAGTCCCCCACTCGTCATTATCCTGGTCCCAGGTGCTGAAGGGACTGTTGTGATGCTTGGAGGCGAGGGAGTCAATCGTCACGTTCCCGCTGAAGCCTCCCACCACCAGCCGGAACTTATTGAGTTCATCTTCCACCCTGACGAGAACAAGACAAAGAGAAATGATTACTTTAGTTTAGGTTAGGGTGAAATAAAATGGGGGTGAATTTTCAGGTATTCACAGCCTTGGGTACACAAAGGGGCAGTGTGGCCAGCATTAAATTTGCCCGCCTTTTTTCCAAAACTGTAAACATAGGTACGGTACCCATTTCCAGCTGGGTAGACTTGGGATGTAATAAGATCGACCTAGTGTCCATTAGAACAGTAAAAGAGCCCTGTGTCCATTTGACCATTGTGCCCGTTGATTAGATAAAGCCACTGGTAGACTATCGTCAAGATCACCCCTGAAGGTACTGTACTGACCCGGATCAGAAACATACCTGAAGGTAGTGTACTTGGCATAGAAGCTGCCCTGCTCGATGTCATGCAGGAGGAATAGGGCCTCGTAGGGCTGGCGGTAGGTGAGGGCGTGGATGGAGGCCAGGCCATACCACCATTCTCCCTCCGACGGATCACCGAACCCTTGGCGGTATTCATCCCAGGACCTGTAGAAGGCAAACACACATCCTTGAGCCCGAGTCATTTGATGGAACCGTAAACAAAGAGAGAGAGAGAGAGAGAGAGAGAGAGAGAGAGAGAGAGAGAGAGAGAGAGAGAGAGAGAGAGAGAGTGTGTGTGTGTGTGTGTACTGTATATAAACACTGACAAACAGAGAAAGAAACAGAAAAAGGGGAGAGTGAGTGTATATAAACAAACAGATAGAAAGACAAACAAAAAGAGACAGAAACAACAAGGAAGACTCACCTATTAAACAGAACCTGTCCAAAGTCAGATTCACGCCTCCTAAGAATAACAGTCCAGCCACCTTCATCCTTGTTACTCTCTTCCCCACCCATGTCACACCAAGCTGACACGGGACTCTGTGAGGGGAGGGAAAGGGAGGGAAAGGGAGGGGGAGGTAGAAAAAAATTATCATAGTTAGTGCATTGATAGAAAACGTTGTGTGGTGATTGACAAAAAAAAAATGTAGTGCATAAATTAATATCCTAAGGTTCATAGGGTAAGTTTTGATCACAACACTCTACCTTAGAGTCCATGTTAGGGTACGTCAGGAACACACCACTAGGAGCCTCAGGGGACTGCCAGTGTAGATCAGAACAGTCTCGGGGGAGGAATGCTGGGGTATCTATCACCCTGTTGAGCGCTGATGTTATATTGCCAACAATCTGAAGTAAATATTAAAAAAACAAACACCATTAATCAACATTTATTTCCCCCTTTTTTTTTACACTTAGTTTGATAATATAACTAACTAATTATCTAACTTTATACAGTAAGTAAGGACTAAGTATTTGGGGTAGAGGGTTGGGAAATATAAGAGGTACTGGACATAATTATATTCATCCTGGGAGGTCCTTGGGTTAGTTATATTTATTTTGGATCTTGAGGTCACGAGGTCACGAGGTCAAGAAGTTATGAGGTCAAGAGAACACTGATCCTTTTAATCCCTATACCCGACTCACTCCACCCGGGTCCTTCCACACCTCATACCTCATCCCTCCTCCTACAGACAGGCCCGGTGGCACCTGACATTATTAGAGCTCTACCTATCATGCTTTTTCATACACACAGAAACATATACAGGTAATCCTCACTATGTACACTCATCCTTCCTCCACTACAGGTAATTAACACAAACAATGGCCACCTCAGGTACTCTCACCCGCCCGTCATCTAACTCTTAAGAAGATAAACATGAATTGTAATGTTTTTGTACTTTGCCTTAAACAGGTTGTAAAAAGGGTGCCCAATAAACTAGCCCCCGACATCTGAATCTCTGAGGCGCAACTGTGACCTCTGGTGCAGCCTCTCTCTCTCTCTCTCTCTCTCTCTCTCTCTCTCTCTCTCTCTCTCTCTCTCCGGTAATTGCCTCCCACGTTCCCTTAATTGTTGTGTGATACCTGAACTTAAGCCATGACTCACCTGTGACACTTTCGCCATGACAATGAACTATGACAGTGACAATGACTCTGACAAATGCCTATGACAATTACTATGCCCCTGACAAATGACTATGATAGAGACTATGACAATGATCATGGCTCAGAATACCTCGTAATGTATGACCATAGTTTAGGAGTGATTTATCAACCTGTTTTCCATGACTGTGAACATCAGTGAAGGTGATTAATGGAGAGAGAGAGAGAGAGAGAGAGAGAGAGAGAGAGAGAGAGAGAGAGAGAGAGAGAGATAACTAAATACAATATGAACAGTCAGAGAGAAAGAGACTGACATAAAAATCATGAATGAAATAAAGAAATGAATAAAGAAGAGAGGAAGAAAAGGGTTAAAGACGAAGAAGAAGAAAGGAAAGAAGAAAATACTTTAAACAGGATAAAGAAAATATGAAGCAACACTGTACAAAATAATAATAATAATAATAAGAAGAAGAAGAAGAAGAAGAGATAAGAATGAAAGAAAGGACAAGAAGAAACAATAAACGATGGATGGAAGCACAATTGGACACTTGGTAAACACAGTGGCTGGCGAACCACATGTCGACAAATGTAAACAAGGAAGAAGTGAGTCACTGTAAACAAGAGGGAGGTAGGTCACTGTAAACAAGAGGGAGGTGGGGCACTGTAAACAAGAGGGAGGTGGGGCACTGTAAACAAGAGGGAGGTGGGGCACTGTAAACAATTGAGAGGTGGGGCACTGTAAACAAGAGGGAGGTGGGGCACTGTAAACAAGAGGGAGGTGGGGCACTGTAAACAAGAGGGAGGTGGGGCACTGTAAACAAGAGGGAGGTAGGTCACTGTAAACAAGAGGGATGTGGGCTATTATTTGTATACCTGTATGGCTTCCCTGAGTCACATATCTGGCGTTGGTATACACATTAACAGGTAATAATATACTATTACAGGTATATAGACTTCATTGGATCACCCTAATTAATTTCACCTGACGATTAAAGCCCCTAATCTTCAGGTCATCCAACAAAATTAACAAAAGATCAAAAGATAATAATATTAGATACTATTTTCGTCTCTATTTTATCTCATATTTGTAACTAAATGAACATGTTGAAAGGCACTAACTAATTGTCGAGTCTCTGCGTAATTTTGATGTCATTTTGAGTAGACCAGCTAAGTACATTCCCGTGTCGTGTCTCTGGGAAATCCGGCACTAGATTGATAGGTGAATTCCCTGCTTGGCACGCCCATACCTGTGACGTCAGCAGTTACGTCATAGGAATGGAGTCCGTAGGCGTGTTGTTGTTTTAGCTGATATATATATATTGTGTTTGTTAATTTATGTCTGGCGTTCGTTCGATATGATTCTCATTCATTTTGAAGAGTGTTTGGGAGGAAGAGGAAGAAGAAAAAAGAGAAAGAAGTCAAAGAAACTACCAGTACAACCACTATTACTACCATTATTACAACCACCATCATCACTACTACTAAACATAAAGATCAACATACCTCTTGGCTCAGACAGGAACAGGTGCCTTGTGATCCTCCGTTGTTCAATAGCTCGGAGACCTTATCCTCCAGGGTCCTGCAAAAGCCAGATTCACCACCGGACTCTCCTTCTACTTCCCCGCCCCCCAGCGACATCCTCTCGTTGATCTTGGTGACATGTGTGTTGATGGTGTCCACGTTCTGAGTGAGTCCAGTCAGCTGTTCCCTCACACCAGTCTCCAAGGAAGTCACTGCACTCGTTACTTGGGTTATGATCCTTCGTTCCATGTCAGCTGTGGAGCCCGAGGGTATAGTGCCGCCGACTGGGGTGCTGTTGCTGCCAGAGGTCGTTCTCACTCGACCTTCCAAGGCCCCCAATGCGCTGTCGATTCTGTTCTCCAGACCTGCCACTTTGACGTCCACATGCTGTTCTATCTTCTGCATACGTTCTTCTGAGTCGACCAACATGTGATCCTGGTAGAAGTTATGCAGCCACGACGTCAGAGTACTGTTCATCTGGATCACCTTGTTGTCTACCTGTCCCTGATTGTTCATTATCATATTATTAATGGCTGTCATTTTGAGGGTGACCCGTGACATCAGAGCTCCGAATTTCTCCTCTAATTTCGACTGCATCTGAGATAGGCTCTCTCTCTGGGTCATGAAGCCATTGACCATATCTGACGAGAGGGAGTCCAGGCGATTCCAGATAGGCTGCAGAGGGTCCTCCAATGGGGTGATGTCATAATCATCTGGTGCCACTGCTGCTGATGTAAGCATAAACAACGCTACCGGTAACCATAGCAACCATACAGTGTTGTGTGTCATGGTTATGGCAGTTTGTGTCGGCTTCCTGTACCTGTGGAGTAAATTTCAAGGAATTAAATTTTTTTTTAATATTTAATACTGAACATTATCCGTCAGTGAGACAGTAAGTGAGAGAGAAGGAAGGAGTGAGTGAGTGAGTATACAGCTCAACTCTCACTCAACCTCAATTAACGTGAAGGTGTGATCAGATCTTACTAACAACCATTCATCTTACCTGACTTGTCTCTCACTTCCAAATATCTTCTTTCTCCTATGATGAGGGAGACGGAGAAGAGAGAGAGAGAAAGAGAGAGAGGGGGAAGCTCACTATGGTAACACGCACGTGGAGGGCAGTGAGTGAGTGAGAATGAGGGGTGAGTTGAGCTGGTGAACGTCTTCGACCGTCTTCCCCTCGCCAAGGCTAAAGAGACACTGAAGCTCTCACAGTCAGACATACCCAACACCCTCCCAAACCAAGATAAACATAGAGACTCAATTTTGTTGGGTTTTTTCCTTAATCATAAACATTTCTTCTAGGTGTTTAGTTACACGTTTTTTTTCTTTTCATTTCGCCTTTATTTGTTTTCGTGTATATTTTCCTTGATTTGTATTTTGTACCTTGTCTATTATTTCCCTTCTTTTTCCAATCATTTCTTCTTGATTATTATTGTTATCATTATTATTATTACACACACACATATAAGGCACTTCACCAAGGCGCCTAATGCAGGGGAAGAGGAGATGGGGGGAAGAGGGGGAAGAGAAGAAGGATGGGGAAAACAGAGAGATTAAAAGGGAAAAAAAGGAGAGAGCAACAGGTAAAGAGAAATAGGGAATGAGTGCAGTTGAAAGGACATAGGAAGGGAAGGAGAGAGGGGAAGAAAGGAGATAAGGGGAGGAAGAGGAGAGGCAGAAGTGAGAGGAAGAGGGAGAGGTGAGGAAAGGAAACGTGAGGGGGGAGAGGTGAGGGAGTGAGAGGTGAGGGTTTTAGTTTAACAAATTTATTGACAAAGCTTGTAGTACAGTTTGCCTAGTCTGAGTAATTCAGTCAGGTCTTGACACTGAGGGTGGTATCACTTCTCACTGCCACGCAGGACAGAGGTTCATACACAAAGAAATACATCATATTCATTAACAGCTATAAATGTATAGAGGTCAGATTCATGTGGGTAATGTCACTGTTCACTGCCATGCAGGACAGAGGTTCGTACACAAAGAGATGCATCATATTCATTGACAGTACATATACATATATGTACACACACACACACACACATATATACATACATATACATATGTACATACACATATACATGTACATATACTTACACACACGCACACATACACACATATACGTCGGTCAGATTCATGTGGGTAATGTCACTTTTCACTGCCAACAGGACAGGGGTTCGTACACAAAGAATGCATCATATTCATTGACACTATATATAGGTCAGATTCATGTGGGTAACGCCACTGTTCACTGCCGTGCAGGACAGAGGTTCGTACACAAAGAAGGAAATACATCATATTCATTTGCAGTATATATAGGTCAGTGGATCACATACATTGGAGTCATATTCTAATTGAAGACCAATCAGTGTGGGCTTGAGGCGAGGGGAGGTGAGGTGAAGAAGAGGAATGAGACAGGAAGTTAGTGACAAAGACTCTCTCTCTCTGTCTCTCTTTGTCTCAAATCGATCAATCCTTACCTATCTGTTTATCATTCCCCTCTCTTTTTTTATCTATCTTTCCTTTCTCTCTTTATTTGATATTCTCTCCATCTATCTCCTCCCACCTCCTCCACTTCTTCCTGGATATTCTTTTATGTTTTAAGTCCTTCCTCCCATTACTGTCTAGGAAATTGAACTCGTGACGTGAACTACAAGAGAGGTGTATAGAACCTCCAAACCTACAACCATAACAAAGACTCGACACCAATCACAACATTTCCCTTGGGTGACGTCACTGGAGGTTCGCATTCTAATTGGTTTATCTTCAAGACGTGGGCGTGGTTTGTTATGACAGACTCTTATAAAGCCACTTGACATGAGATATGACACTCCAGGGCTTGTCACGCTGACTCGAGAGGATGACATATGACAGTCCACACATATATACGAGTATATACAATGAGTGGATGCCCTGGCACGTATATAGTTAAAGATTCTCTAATGACATATATACATACATACATACATACACAGACAATTTTTCTTTTACTTGGGAGTATTTGAACATGTCTGGTGTCGTTAGTCTCAGTACAAAATCGGCGCCATTTTGTACCGTACTGAGGTTTGATTTGTCATTTATTGTTGAGAGTTTGGATTAGAAACATCACATTCACGTCACTGGCTAAACTGGCGGCTGACTTACTGACAGGCTGGCTATCTGGCTAATTGGTTGTCTGATTCCCTCCACCATAGGAAATTTTGGATACAGTATTGCCATTGTAGTGAACAAAGCCAGGATGGTAGGTCTGGTAACGAGGAAGAAAGGGGGGAGGAAGAGAAGAATAAAGGAAGTAAAAGAGACATGATGAGGAAGAATAAACAATGAAAAGGAAGTGAAGGAAGAAGGAAAGGGTAATAAAGGGAAGAAGAACGAGGAGGAAGAGCAAAAAGGAGGAAAGAAGAAGAATGAGCAAGGTAAAGGAAGATGGAGGAAGGGAAAAAAAGAGAAAGTAAAGATAAGAAGAAGAAAACGGGCCGAAAATTTATCTTATAACGAATAGGATAGAGAGAGTGAGATGAATAAGATGCAACAAGGAAAAGAATAAAAGAAAAATCTGAGTCACAGCAGCAAAATTTAATTAAAATGTTTTCATCGTGAGAGGGAGAGAGAGAGAGACTTCCCCTATTTCATTATTTTTTCATTCCCTCTAACTCCCTTCCTTTCCTCTCCCTCACTCCCCCTCTTCTTCCATTATCTCCTCACTCCTCCTTTAAGGGTTGATATAAACGAAGGCAATTGAAGATCAGCCCATAATCCAAATACTCTCTCTCTCTCTCTCTCTCTCTCTCTCTCTCTCTCTCTCTCTCTCACACCACTTACACTAAACTTCCTCCATGGTGAAGTGGGAGAGGACTGGGAATAGTGAGTTATTTACACACACACACACACACACACACACACACACACAGACACTTATGTAAAAAAAAATAGATAAACACGAGAATTCCTTGAGCTCAACCTTTTATTTGAGGTCAGTGGGTCAGGTCTAGAGGGATCACAACTCTTAAAGCAGAGTATATGGAGTGGAAAGTTGTGTATGTGTGTGTATGTGTGTGTGTAAGTGTGTGTGTAAGTGTGTGTGTGTGTGTGTGTGTGTGTGTGTGTGTTTCTTAAATTAAAAACCTTAAAAAAAACACAGCTACTAAAACCGTACTCGATAAACCGGTTGGTGACGAGGAGGAGGCGTCCGGTGGTCATCAAAGGGAAGATTAATTACAGGTGAGGACGTTCAGCTCGCAGGTATTTTGGTCAGGTTCCAGGCCAGCCTACGTGAGGGGGATTTGACTGGTCATTTATTTTCTGGAGCGGTGATTGGTGGATATGTGGCGTGACTGACAGGTGGGGTTATTTTGGAGTGTGGTGGTTGGTGGATAAATGGAAAGAGTTGCTTAGTCATCTGTTTTCTAGGGTTGTGATTGGTGAATACATGAAATGAGTTAAGAAGCGATTAATTTTCTTGACTTTGGATAGGTAGGTGAGTAGCTCTCAATAACAGGTTGACTCAGTATCTGTTTTCCAATGTAATTTGATAAGATATTACTTTGTTAATCTGTACTTGTATCTGTATCTGTACCTGTATCTGTACCTGTATCCGTACCTGTACTTGTATCCATACATGTACAGTTCCGTTCAGAAGTTCGTGGTACACTGGCGGTGGAGGATGCATAGTCTATTGTACCCTTACTGGACGACAGATCAGGGAGACTCAGGAACGTAACTTCCGTATTTTATCTATTATTATGGAGAAAATTGATCCGCTTAACTTTGTTTCGTATAACGTCGCGTTTTCAGGAACGTAACCCTGACGTCTCAAAAATACGTGGCGCGATAGTTCCCTTCAGGATAATAAATTACTTTTTAATTAACATTCTTACAACAATTTCACCATGAACATCAGATTCTCTGATGTTCATATGTGAAAAAGAGGTGACTTCAGCCTCAGTTAACACCTCCTGGCATCTCTCGGCACGACGTCAATGATACCTCATTCTCACTGTAAGCTCTACCCTGCCTTATATTGACAATTACCCTAACAGTAATTACAATTGAAGTTTTCAACATTAGTCACAACGGATCTTGAACGCTTCATCTGCAATCAGACAGTTATACCCGAGTTTCTCCGGTGATGCGACATAAAAAACGGAAGATTCGGGTCTCCTGAAGTGATTAGAGGACGGATGTTTCAACTGGGAGACTAAAAGGTTTACAGGTTTTGTGGGCGTGGCGCGTAATATTCATATTATGCGGTAACGTTCAGAAAACATGTACAGTAGTTACACAGATTCTTTAAGTAACTCTTACTTTCGGAAATTGGTTTCACGATATGGTGCACACACTAAATTATGAGAACAAAATATATAAAATTATCATACCTGTGTTATCTGTCCTGTGAAGACAAATATTTACGTATAAGGTAATTCTGCAACCGAAACACAAGCCATGGAAACTTCTCATTTTAGGTATTCAGTAAAATCACGCGTTAGTAGGTACATTGTGGGAGTGCTGCAGCCAATGAATAATTAAAAATCAGCCATTTATCTTCCTTGAGGCGCCAGCCATGTCTGTGTGTGCACGCTGCGACTGGAATTATTATGCTGCCTTTTCCGAGTTCTGTGAGAAAAACGAAGGGGCTTTTGTCGTGAGCAGTGAGCACCGTGTTTAGCCAGACTACAGGTATATGAAAGACGGGAAAGATCAGGCATAAACAACACAACTAGGTGTAATATTTTCTCAGAGCGTATAGCGGGCCATCTATTGAACGCCCTACCAAGTAGCTTTCTCAACAGATTGCTGAATACTAATAATGCATACACAGTGGCTTCTATTTGGCTCTTTTTTTTGTTAGAGTGCCAACCCGGGGGATAATTAAAGGCCGCGTCCATAGTCTGTTTATGAGCAAAGGTGACAAGGGAAGAGAGACATGTACACATAGCGTAGTGTGTACCTGTTATGTCCTAAAGTAAAATATATTTAAACCTAAGGGTAACACTCACTAAACTGTATTAATATAATATGATTTAAGCAATACCAAACGTATAAGCACGTACGTGTCATAGGAATGCATGTATTTTCTCCTAGTGCTGGTAACCTGACACTACGACAATACAGTAATGATGATAAAATTAAATACGATCATCATCGTAATAATTATTATTGTTTTTTATTATATGCATAAAACGATATAATTTCAGCTATAGATACA